TAGAAGAGACCTTTAAAGGCCATCCAGCCCAATTCCCCTGCAATAAGCAGGGACATTTTCAACTAGACCATATTGCTCACAGCCCAGTCCAACCTGACCTTGAATGCCTCTAGGGATGGGGCATCCACTGCCTCTCTGGACAACCTGTTCCAGTATTTAGCACACTCATAGCAAAAAAAATCTTCCAAATATCTGGTCTGACTCTACTTTCTTTCAGCTTAAACCCATTATACCTTGTCGTATTCCTACTGGCCCTGGGATATATTTTTTGCACTCTATAAGTGCAAACACACACACACTTTATTATCTTCTTTGGCTCTGTTTGACTGTACAGCATCTTGGAGAAAAAAAACCCACAAAACCTGTAATTTCATTACAAAAAAAAAAAAAAAAAAAACCAGCAAAAAAATTGTTTTATGCTATGGCTCCATGCCTGTTCTCTACTGACTGAATTCAATGCCAGAGAATATATATACTGATAAAAAGCTCCTATTTTCACTTGGTCTGCAGGAGAGGAGGATGAACATGCTAGAAACAAAACCAGGGGGTTTGAAAGCACTTTGACAGCTTTTTGTTCAGAGTAATTTAACACAAAACAATCACAGAACCTATTAGGTTGGACAAGACCTTCAGAATCACCAAGTGCAACCATTAACTCAGCACTGCCAAGTTCGCCACATGAGAACGAAAAACCGTGTCCCCGAGCAACACATGTTCACATGTTTTAAATACTTCCAGGGATGGTGACTCTACCATACAATGCTTTTTCCCCTTATCCTGTCACTTGTTATTAGAAGAAGATACTGACTCCTACCCGGCTACAACCTCCTTTCAGGTAATCTTAGAGACCCATAATGTCTCCCCCTGAGCTTCCTTTTCTCCAGGCTAAACAACCCCAGCTCCCTCAGCTGCTCCTCACAAGATTTGTGCTCCAGATCCTTCACCATCTCCATTGCTCTTCTCTAGAAATGCTCCAGCACCTCAGTGTCTGTCTTGTAGAAAATACAACAGGTGGACACAAACCCATAAATTTGCAGAAAGCATTTTCAGATGGGATGAGTTTTGTGCCAGTTTTGTGTAAGCTGATATGCTGCGAGGTATGCAAAACAATGAAGAAAATCAAGTCTTTGCCAAAACCCAATACTGTAATTTTCATGCAGTCACATTAATCTGTACTTCCCAGTCTTATTTGTAGTAGGTTATTAAATAAGACAGTGTTAGTTTTCTGTTGCCCCCAACAATAATTTTAAAATTAAGGACAAAACCCCCACCATCCAAAATGTTAGCAAAATAAGGTTCACATTCAGCTTAGCATCCTGTTATTTAAATCACTCCAAATCACTGTTGGTACATTTCTAAATGCTGGGTGCTAATAGTAGCAAAGCTTTTACAGTTCAGAATGGCAAGACATACTTCATAAAAAATTAATATACTTGAAAAGCAGGTCATTTATTAAAAGATCTTTTAAAAGCTTCCTTTGTTAAAAAGCAAAACTATCTGCCCACCTCCGCATCTTGTCTGAAAGCATTTGCATACACAGCTGTTCTCCAAATTTCAACCATGTTCCTTTTTTGTCTCCATGTTTTAAGACATGAATAGCAGGCATTTAGTGAAACAGCAGCATGCTTCAGCAAGTGCCTTCTGCTTCCACACACTGATTTATCCTGTCTCCCAGACACTCAGATACCCTTCTCTCATACACAGGATTGAAGTCTCAGACCTTTAGCCCCAGGGCTGCTTGAGATGGCAGTTTGGGGACTTCAGCTTCTAAACCTTCTCTTACCACAGCTGAAAGTTCTCCACAATAGTACAGATGAGGAGAGACTTTGCCCCTCCTGGATCTTCCACTGTCCTTTTGTTTTACAAGTCCTTTTAGGCAGTGCTCTCTGACCAGCTGCCTGGGAACTGCACACACAGCACAAGTGGACTGGATGCCAAAGGTGCAAGACGCAGAGGTGTCCCGTTACCAAACTGCAGAAGGCAAAACAATAAATATTTCTTGGACAGTTGGCCCATAGCATTCTGCTCACTGGAAATTGTACCACCTTTGCACACTGCTGTCCTCGGAGCCAGCATTTTATATGGAGACAAAGAAATAGCAGGACTATGCATTGAGTAAGATACGACAGAAAAAAAAATATAGGAGTTGATACTTCTGAGATACGTTTAACATCCTGTTCTTCATGAGTGTTTGTTTTCAATCCCTGCATCTTCCTGAACAAGCACCTCTCACTGTTTCATCTTGCCTGCAAATAACATGATACCCCAGAAAATTAAAAATAATGCATTAAAAAGATTACTATCTTTTCAGGACATGGCAGCTCAACTGTAGCCACAGAGTTACTCTCCTGGGAACAGGCTGTCATGAATACAGTGGTTACAAAAGACAGAACAAGTTGTGGGAAAGTTGCTTTGAAAGGAGGTTAAGTGAGGAGAATATGATGACCTTGGTCATAAGTTTCAAAGGAGACATGATGTAAAATTCAGACACCACAAGGGAAGACAGACACAGAAAAGAAGAAAGTTGGGAAAACTCAGAAAGGGCAAGACACCAAGAAGGTGGAGACGACTTGCTGTGCCAAAATCAAGAAACAATAATAGCACAGATACTTACTTAGCACTCTCTGACTCTTGTCTTAAGATCATAATGAAAATTACTTTAAATTTAGAAGAATGACATTCAAGAGACTACTTTTTCATCTATAAATGATTATTTTTAGTGATTTTTCTTTTAAGTCACTGCTTATTATTAATCAGTTTTGATGGGTAGCCAACCAAGTTCCTAAGTAATCAAATGTAGAATATGCTTGAAAGCTGTTCATACCTACCAGGGTAAGACAGATGGTGTAGTGTAGGTATCTCCACTTTAGATTACACTGCAGCCCAAGGGACATCAACTGAGTATTTAGCAATAATGTAGTAACTGTAACAAATGGTAGGACTCAGCTATTGATCATCATTTGGGCTTTCAGGGAGATAAATAAAAGGCATTTATGGGTTAATACTTCTGACTGAAATGTGCTTATTTAGAGGTGCACTTAATAATAGATGCCATCATCAAGAGATAAAAGTCCTTACAATGAACAGACAATTTTAATGGCCTTTCCCATTAAGCTATGGATGACATATTTAAAAGGGCAGATTATTGGAGTCTTTCTGCTGACAGCAAGGAATGTCAAATGAATTCAAAATATCAGTGAATATTTAAGCCTTGGTAACAAGGATTTTAATATGGAGCTATCTTACAATTCAGGACAAAACACCTTGACCAATTTATTCTCCTCTATAGCACATTTATATCCACATTTATACTGAAATAGGCAATTGACCCTTACTGTTCATGGGAACAAAACTCCAGATGCTCATATATTTTAAGCTTGATGTGTTCAGTTACTGGTGTAGCAGCATTAATCACAGACAACAAGAGTTTTATGGCCTTGGAAAAATGGAACCTCCCAGATTTGTTAGACTACTTCACTCAATAAAATGTTTCCTAAGAACAAATGAGTTCTGAATATAATGTACTAAACATTATCACCCCATAATCAATAGGTATCAGGAAGACTGTTTTTAAGGTTTAGTTCCCTTCCCGTTCTGCAGACTGCAATTATTCAGCTGTGTACTGCAGAGCTCCATTAAGCACTTTGTTTTTCATTGAATGACTAGAATCAAGTGCGTATGGCCTCCACGGATGGATAAACTGCTGTAAAAAGAGATAAGTCAGCAATACTGATTGGCTCTGTTGTCTGAGCGTGCCTTTTGATTTTTGAATTACTGCCAAAAGCATCATCATTCTCTGTTTCCCCTTCAAAAGCCCTTGGTCACTTAGATAGTGCATATACTCCCAGCACAGAGTTGTTCTTTGCAGAAACAGTATTCATTAAAAAAAAGACAATTTCAGTACTTGTACTTGTTAAATGTAAATTTGTGGCACAGATCTTTTATCTCTCATCTTTTATGACATTGTTACTATATAATATGAAGTGATTAGAAGACCAGTTTTACTTTGATGCCCACCTCTTTCACTCAGATAAATGGTTTACCTCTGTGCAAAGCTGTAGGTAGTTTTCAAAGTGTAATTTGTCACACCGTTTTTCTCCCCCGTTCCCTCTCTGGCAAGTCAAAGTAACAGAACCACTATAAACCTCTGTGGGGGTTTCTTTTGTCTGTCTGTCTGTGTGTGTATGAGTTCATACCAATCACTGAAGACACACTGCACTTTTCTTCACTGCTGTGGCCAGTACTGTCAGTACAGGCTTTCAGAGGACAGGCTTGCATTTCCCTCCAGAGCTGCAATAAGAGCTGTTGTTTAGCTGAGAACACCTTGTACACTTTGTACCTGGATAAATGCCTACTGGACACAGCAGGAACATGACCAGAACAGGTCCCTGATGAAGCATTTCAGCTGGTTAAAACTCCTTGTGAATTCAGCATTCAGGAATCTCCTAAGGCAGAGACAGGTAATGCATGCTTGACATGACAGGATGACCTGTCTGCAAAGGCAGATAATATCTAATATTATATTGTATAGAATAGTTATTCCCATTTGAATACAAAAACAATCAGATACCAATGATTTGAATTTTATGCAAACATACAGGTAATAATAAGACCATTGTCCTGGGGTGACTAATAATTAAATAATATCGGCATAAATGGCAATAAAGTGACAAATAAAGGCAATTGTTACTTGCTTGTTCAAAGCCTCGTGAACATTCTGCAATCTCATAATTACTGCAATCTCACCAGAGCTGCAAGTTCAGCTCACTGTGAAGGTCTAGGCCCTGTAAAACCTTATTCATGCACACACTACAGGAAGCAGGGACAGTGAAGGCAGATCAGCACCTATGCTATTCCAAAGGTGCTGCTTAACATTTTGAGTGAGGAAAGTCCCTCTTACAAATAGCTCAACCCCCTTTTTGTGAATAAAAAGAAATTAATTTGATTTCTCAACAAACCTTGGGAAACAAATTGAGAATACTAGCATATGCTCTAATCCATTTTCTAGTTATAAAGGTTTCTTTATTACTGTTTTTGGCTGACAACACTTGAGATAGCATGTTTATCATCATTCTTAAAACACTTGAGAGAGAGCAATGTGGGTGCATTTTTTATTTTGGTTTTAACTTCTTTATTTCATTGCTGTACAGCTGCATTACACTTGGCTTTAATCCCTCAAGCATTATTTTCCTTGGCAAAACAGTCACTGAACTGAGTAGAACTTACTATTGGAAAAATATGCTTGAAAAACCAGTGTGATGTCAATGCCAACTGAAACCCATGGAGCTTAAAATGTCACAAATGGGCCTGTAGCTGAAATACAGAGCTCCTCTTTTTTTTTTTTTTGGCTGAGCTAGGAATGTTGTAAGTCTTAGGTTGTGAAGTCAACTGTAAAAATCACAGAGTAGCCTCCTGAAACTGAATGTGTGCTGAAACTGAATGTGTGCTTCCCTCCCTCCATAAACAAACATTTAGAGAACAATTATATAAAACTAGATGTAGGATAATTCCTTAGGAAACAAATGACTGCATGGCTCCACTTCCAGTCTTGCCTGCATTAACAGTTGCTATCTGTTTTAAGTTGGGCTACAGGCTTCTCAGAGAAAAGAGAGAACCCGACTTTGTAAAACACCTTTAATATTCAAATATATAAATAAGCACTACTGAAGAATAATTCAGAAGACTGCGGTGATTCATTACGAACAGATGCTATAAATGGGAACAGTAACATTGCTAGGTAAGGAAGAAGCAAGCTATTTTAGGAGTCTTGAAAATCTCTTCTAGTTCTTCAGACAGATCATGCTGCTATAGTTATTTTATAAAAAATTATATTCTGAAAAGCACTTTAGTAAAAGAAACCTTTTACTGGAACTATTATTTAACCAAGACCTTCTACAGCACTAAAACACACTGCAATTGAGTTCCTGATACAGTTTTAAGAATGGAAGGGGTGAAAATAAGAACAAAAAAACCCTACCATACCTGCACCAGGAGCTATTTATTAGCATAACACTCTTCCTTTTAAAGATTTTGTAACAACTGAAGTATATACAAAGTCTTACAGCATTTACACAATAAAAAAGTTTCCTATTAGCTGATGTAGTATTAAGGTAGTGCTGCAATTTACTTCAAAGCATGAAAACAATAATAATGAAGCAGGCCACTGTACTTTCAACTTCTCCACTACCACACAACCACTGTCAGTTGAAATGACAGTTAGTTAAGCCACTGGGAAGACAGATTGTTGAAAGATTTGTAACAGGTTGATTCGCAGCACTAACCATCTTAAGGAGGAAAAAAAAAAGAAAATAAAAGCTACATACTGTCATGTTTCTACACTTTCCTAGAGCTGGAACAAACTTTCACAGCCTTAGATATAACATATGCAAGACAACATAATCACATTTTTTCAGATATAGTTCAGCTACTGAGTGTATTTACTTCTGAATAGGAGGCATTATATTGATATGGCTGTGTGCTTCCATTTTTGTTGATTAACTTTTCAAATAGGTTTACAAAAAAAATTAAGACAGAATGGAGTTTGTAGTCAGATGTGTTTTGACTAATAAAGGCATTCAATATCAGCTATAGGATCTAATTATTCCTGTCAAAAGTTTAAGACCAGGAATCTTTGAGTAAAAATCAAACCCACAAAATCCTGCACCTGCGCCATTTTCATCTGTTGACTCCAACATTCTTTAAGCTTTTCCAACTGGTATAATACAAAATCATTAAAATGCTTACACAAACCCAAATGCAAGACTCATGTAATTTGTGAGAGGTCAAGCAGATTCACTAGACTACTTCTGCTGTAAAAGAGAGGGAGCTTATCTAGGAAAAAGAAACTTTTACTGAACAGTGCCTTACTACAAGTAGGGATATATAGTTTAACAATGATACATAATTTAAGAAGGTAGCATTCTTTGCCTTTTAGAAACAGCTTTCGTGTGCCAATAATGCACTTTCTACAAGAGATAAGGCTGCTTTGCCTATTGTTGTATGCCTAAACCTCATATTTTGGCCAATTCCACTTTTCTTCCCAATAAAGGGATTCCGTTTCAGCTTAGAAACAAGTAACATCTGTTGACAATATCTGTATTAAGACAAAAAGTGACATATATAAAATCCACAAGGAACCACATAAATACCAAAGAAGTCATATAACCTTTCCATGTAAACACTTTGATTATACTGAAGCCCTAATCAGATTCTTGTCTTAAACTTTTGGCAGATAATGTGTATGCTCAGCCAGGCTTTGTAGTTAGTTACTGTTCAAGTGGAAGCCAGGTCAGCTCACATGTTGACAGGCATGCAACTTGGAAACATTGCACAACAAGCAACACAAAGAGATTTGAGAAGGGTACAAGACTTCAAGTAGACTTCACAACCCTTCACAAACTGAATATTCACAGACAAAGATACAGTCCTTGCTTTTTTCTGTGGTGGATTTCTTTCTCACACATGGGACACTTTCTGTGACTCTCTAGCTTGCTTGATGCTATATAACCACTTGATGATTCTGGCATTCCTTTCAATGGCAGAAATGCCATATGGCACACGGTCATTGGCACTGTCATCATTTCTAAGGTCACTGTTGCTGTCCTGAGACTGTTCACAGTCTGAGCTAATCATGCTTGCACTGCGAAAGTTGAGTGATATAATATCAGAGTTAGCCCTTGCAAAGTTTTCCATCCCAAGGTTTTCAAGCTCTTCAGGATCCAGTCCACAGTAGTTAAAGAATCGTTCAACATCTGCATCAACGCGAAAGTATCTGTCGCTTAAGTCTGATTTTGATCGCTGTAGGGAGGGTCTTCTACTAACTCCGCATCCAGACTCGACTGCCTCAATCTCTGGGGATTTCAGGGTGGCAATGGCAGCGATTTTGGGCTTTGGAGGCAGAGGTGGGGCTGAACTACTGCAGGGTATTGCTTTTAAGGGCTTTGTACTAGTTACTTTCCTAATGTCTGAAGAGCTGTGAGAGACATGCAAGAAAGTCTCTGCTGACTGATCTAGGAGCCTTCTGCTGACATTGGAGCTGCTCTCCTGTGGGCTGCTCCGGCCCTGTGTGGGGTAAACCTTCAGGGATTCAGCGAACGAGTGTCGGTTCAGCTCTGTTGAATCGGCCCTGTGGGGTGGCCAATTTCGGGGACCGTGCTTATGCCCTGAACCTGAGCTGGAGCCTTCAGAGCTGTTGATGATGTTCTTCAAAATCTCAAGTTTCAGATTTTCTCTCTGGACTCCACTCTCAGTTTTTGCATTGTTGCTGAAGACTTTCAAGGTGGGGCTCCCCAGCGCTCGCTTGGCTGCAGGACAGACTGGCGGCTTTGCCAGCACCGCCGGCTTCACAGGCTCCTGCTTGGCATTGATGACCTCCTGGCTCTTGACATATTTCGCCTTGTCGGCTTCGAGCCTCTCCACTGCACTCAGTCTTTTTGGATTAGGCTCCGCCTGCCTGCGAAAATAGTCAGGTCCTTTGTTCAGGATGCGGAGAGGAACGGCAGATGTGAAAGTCACGGCAGGGCTGACCGGCTTCACCATGCTACCTGTCGGTAATGTTTCTGTAGGCATGTTTGGTGGTCTTTCCCCCGCAGCCGTTTTGGATTCTTCTCTGGGATCTCCTAAATGCACGGTGCAGAAACATGTACATTAAGCACAATGAATAGCCGATGAATCCTGGGATCTGAGCGTTAGCAGCAGTGCCTCATCTCACAGCTCATTAAATAGCACTGCGTTTCTCTTTTAAAGGCAGCCTTTGTAGGGCAAGGGCACCCGACACAAGTCCCTATTAGTCTGCTCCGCTGGCTCCTTTCTTCTCGCTGAAAGATGTGGGAGTCTCGCCGTCCCCTCTGCGCTCCACAAGCGAGCGGCAGCGATCTGAAAGGCAGAATAACCAACCACACGTTAGCGGTGGTGCCTGACATCAGAGCGATAGCAACAGCCGCCCCCCGGCCCTCCTCTGCCACCGCTGCCAGCACAGCACGGCAGCGCTCACGGTGCCCCTGCCCAGCGCCCCTCTGCATCTCACAAGACATGTATTGTTTGATATTTATACTCTGAGCTTGGATTTAACAAAATTACATTGGGGAAAAAAAAAAAAAACTCCAAAAGATTAAGCCTCACCACAATACAGCCATACATTACTAGAGGGAGAAAGGGAACCAGAATGTGACAATTCAGAGACTTGAAGCCACACATCTGCCAGTAAAAAAGCACTTCATATTAATATATTTGGCTTAGTTGAGTAGATTTGTGAACATGTTTTATCTCTAACCCCCAAACATTTTTCTCCTTATAGGCAACATACTGTATAAATCTCAGCAATCACCTGTATTTTCCTTGCTCATTAAATTGTCCAGAAAACAATCTGGTCTAAAAAGCAGAGAGGAAACAAAGACATGAAGAGTTTTAAGTGCAATGCACATCTTTCATTGCTAATCTAATATAGAACCAACAAATAAAACCAGGAGGTGTCACTAAATCCATCAATTCCAGTTCCTAGTCTGTTTGAACATTAGGATCCATAGCACTGGTGCTCCAGCAATAAAATAAGGCTTTCCAAGCTCGCACGATCACCTTACAGGCTTAAGAGAACAACAAAAAATGGCTTTGGTTTTTTATGTAAGATTTTGGGAACATGCAAAATCATGTAACTGGGTTTGAAAAAGAAGAACTTGTCTTCAACATGTAGATATTATAGCTCAGGTTTTCCATGAAGCAGTAAGTACAAATGAAATTTATCTTCATCTAAATTATTTTAAGGTTTTATCACTGAGATTGTCACAACAGTCTAAAATCCAACACCATGGATGATACTACAATTGCTGAAACAATTTTTCCTAAACGAGGCACTGAAGGGCACTTACCATGGAATCTACTTTTCAAGTAGTGATTTCGCTAATGGGTCTCATTTGTTTTATTACTGCCCCATTAATCTATGCTGCCTTCTTTAATATCTCATTTCTATTATCACTGTGATCTTCAGGGAGAGAAAGAAAAGCAGCTGCTACTTCTTCACTCAATCCTAAAGAACACAGAGCAGCATCCTTCCCTGGAAGGACTTGCTTTTATGTTGCTGTCATCCTATGTGATCTCATCCATCAATACCCAACTTAATATTGCAGGGTTTACATTGTTTTGTCAAAAAAAAAAAGAAAAACAACCCCCCCCCCCAAAAAAAAAAAAACCCAAAAAAACCCCAAAAACAAAATAAAACAACCCAAAACACCAGCTGAAGTTACATTAACAGTAAAAACAAAAGAATCACTGATGACCAGAAACATGTGAGATATATATATATATATATATATATATATATATATATATATATACACATTAAATACTTTCTACATATTATCCAAGGTCAAAGTGAGCAAATAAAATATACAAATGCTATAATGAGATTACAGGAAAAAGCTGAGCTTTCTCCTGAAGGCTCACTGTCACAAGCATTCTTCAAATACAAATGAACATATTTAGGTGGGGATAAACCAGACACAGATTCAGTGCAATTGAAAGGGTAGTGAAAAGTTAATTAAGCTTCTCTTTCAATGTTGTTTTATAAATCCTAGTGCTAACTCTTCAGCAGTTTGACTTCCTGAATTTAAACTAAGCCTCACTGAAAGAGAAAAAGCTTTCCTCATTTGAATCAACATATTTATTGGTACTGTTTTTAAATTAAGTATGAAACTTCCAAATGCGCAGAAGGCAATTCCAGCTCGCATTTGCACACGTTTCTCTTCCCTACACACAAAGCAAATCCTTCCACATTGCCAGCTCAGAGCTGGATGGCTAAGTGCCTGTATAAATACCCCACTGATGCGTATATTTAATATTTCTGTGCAGAAATCAAATCTGTGTGAGAGCAGGGGCTCTGTCAAGAGGAAGAAAACCCCATAAACAACTGAGCTCTTTGTACTTAACACTTTCACCCAACCAAGTTAATACTACTTGAGTAAGCAAGACAACTCTCCTGCTTGACTACAGTCATTAAAGGTGACCATGGTCCTGCCCCTGAGGGCAGCTGCCAACTCCATTCTCCTGGTGAGCGGCTCCACACACCACTACAGATCAGAGCTATGGGAACAGAGGCCTCCAGCTTGAGGCTGCTGTTGGAAGACTTTTCCCAGCATTTAACATAAAACAACTTTCTCACTTTGGATAGCTTTCATCAATGTCAGCAAGCATTGCCTAGTAGGCCGAGCATCCACATTGGCTTCAACACCACATTTAAAAGGGAAAAAAAGAAAAAAAAAAAAAAAAAAAAGAAGAAGAAAAATAAACCCCACCATGCATGCATGTTTATCTGAGAGAACAAGTGTGCTTGTTTGCAAGCTCGTTGGTGAGGAGCCAGGACAGAAATATCCACCTGAACCAGCAGTCATGGAGGCTTTGTACCTGTGGGCTGCTGCTATAAATTAAGGAACATACAGCTATGAAAAGGAATCAACTTTTTGTTCATTGTTTAAAGAACATACAGATATGAAAAGGGATAAAGTTTTTATGCATTGTTTAAATTGCTCCATTTCACTGAAGCGCCACGTTTGAATATCACCAGAAATTTTATTCAGTATTCTCATCTCAGAGAGATAAAAATTAAAGATTTAACCAGATACAGTTAAAAAAGAAAGTGTGATGAAAGAGAGGTGGATGAATGTAACATCTAATGAAACTTCTGCCTGTGCTCATGATTGCTGCAGCCTGATCCTACTGCTAACTGGGAAAATGAGTTCAATTCCTACCAGCCTCTCTTCTGTCCATGGGCACCTGAAACACCACAGCGACGCTACAGAGCCTTCCTACTTCTTAATTTTATTGATAATTATAGAGACTGAGAGCAGCAGTACAGTATAAGTCTCAGGAAGACTTAGATTCCAGTTGTTAAAATCATCATTGCAGCAACCAGGGCATAGAAATGCTTTTTTGTGACTTAAACTCCTAAGAAACTCACTGCTTAGGCATCTGAATTCCTTGTTGGGAATCTCTGATACCAGTAACACCCTGCAGAAATTCAAAGGCAGATAGGTTTTCTTCACCCAGTCCCAGAAAATGTGTGAAATATACTTAGGAACCCAAGAAATGTTCTTCTCTATCTGTTTACATCCAGGGGTCTGTTCTATAACTGTAATCCTTCTATGGACTGAACAATATTTTTCAGGATTTACTCTGGATTGCCATTATTGCTCTTCCTTACAAAACTACTAGACTTAAGAAAGTATTTCAAGAAAAACAAAGTCAAACAACTTAGCCATCATTCAAGCATAGTTCTATTGAATACCATGCATACATTAAAAAACCTTTCTGAAAGGTCTTACTCAGCTCCCCTAATATCCCACAACTACTGCAGACCTGCTGAGTAGAATATAAAATGCACAAAGTTTTGGGTTTTTAAAGCTGCATTTTCAGCCAGACACTTCAATTCAGGATTCCTGTGTGGCAGAGGCAGAGATTCAGAGCACTTAATTCATTCTAGGCATGACAATTTAATCATTCTTGAGTCCATAATATGTTTGTCAGATATTCATATTTAAATAACAAATGCACTATCTGCATGATTTAGGTGAACACAACACAGCCTAGAGCAGCAATAGCTACACAACTAACATTAACTACAAATAAATCTCCCATAAAATATTCTTTCCTTACTTTAAAACCAAGGCAGTAGGAAGAGATAAACTATGCAGAAACTTTGGAATCCCAGGTCCATATATTATAAATACGCAGTTTCTTGAAATGTATGAGAAATTTATGAACAGACCCCATTGTGGCAAGTATTTATTTCTAGCACTATTATGAATATAATAGCATTGTACAATAATAGAGTTCATTTTTTCCTCTCATACCTAAAACTGCATTCTAAACATGGACTGAATGGTGTCAACTGACAGTAAATAACACACTTCCCTCCTCAGTTCTGCAGTGTCCCGGCGCTCCTACGCATTTGGCCACGTTTCACCCAGTCTTTGTCTAAAAGTATCCACAGGAAGGCATTACATATTTTAGCAGTAGTCAAGTTACAGAAAAAGCAGCAAAAAGCCATGTGAAAATGTGGTCCAAATGAAATGAGTGAAATTTCTGTCCTTGACTTTGGTGAGGACAGACATTGCTTCACCTGACAAAGTTACAATGATGCTCATTCTCCTTATTCATCCCTCTGGGACAGCAGATGAAGGGATTGCACAGAAGGGAGGATGATGTACAGTGGATAAATATAATGAAGGCTGACAGCTTTTACTCTGCTTTCCTTGATATTTAAAGGCCTGTGTCAATTTTATTTTCCAGGTGATAAAATATAACTATTACTACTTCAAGATTTAAGTAGGAAACATGACATAAATTCCAGTATAAGTAATCCAGAAATGGCTGCAACAGGACTCAAAGAGATCACAAAACAAAACCTACATAGGAATACAGGACACAGATGGAAAATGTCAGGTTCCTCTAACACCTGGGTGCACTTCAGAGCTGAAGGCCGCATTATGAAGATACTGTTTATTTAACAAATGAGAGCGTCACTGAGAATGATGGGCTACAGGTCTGGGTGCTAAGTTATACTAATATGTATGCCTAAAACTGACACAAGTTATTCTGTGGATAATTGCCATTGTAAGCCTCACATATATATGTTACTAAGTTTAAAAATACCGGCAAAGCCTAGGTAAACTTGGCTGAAATTGATAAAAGGTCATCCATATCCAGAATGGCAGCAGTATTTCATTTTTTAAAACAATTTTAGATAAAGATGTGTATGCTGTGTAGTCTTGGTCTCATATAATATTAACTGTCAAGATAAAGTATGAAGAGATGAAATAGTCTTTCAGATCCACTATGACTCAAAATACTAATGAAAGTGCCTGTTTTCAACCCTGTTCCTTCCT